CAATGTTTTAGAGTAAAAATGGATGTATTCTGCATGTCTAGGTGCGAATGCTTAACATAATCCAGCGAAACAAGAATCCATATTTATGGGACTTAGGTTCAGGTATGAGAATGGGGGTATAACACAAACGAAGCTATAGGCGAACACGTCGGTAACAAAACCTATCTACTCCACACTAAACGACTAAGAAGACTGACATCACCAGAGAAAGGGGACCTACAGTGCCACGGATGTCCCAGCAGCGAACCTTGTTGTCAAGGCCACCAGTCCAAAGCCGGGTGCCCTGTCCCACCAGCTCGATGCAGGAGGCGCCGTCGGCGTGCGCGTGAAACTGTTGGACGACACTCTGATTATGAATATCCCATATCGCAACTTGACCATCAGAACAGCAACTACATGAGAGAAAAAGATTCAGTCAATCAATCGCCTCCAGCTCTGGAGAGCAACTAGAGACCAACCAGACGAGCTGCTGTCCACAAGCACAAATGTGCAGAAATCAGGTACGCTAAAAACATGATAGACTAGGAAAGTGAGTTAATTTGGTTGGCACGTGACAGCAGGAGCGGTGTGCAAGTGTGAAGAGGGGACAAAAAACTTAAGCCTTGGAAAAGAGAAATAAAAATGTGACAGTAAGGAAGAATGAGTCAAGTGCACCCACAAATAAAGGAATTTGGAACTACAAGAATAAAGAACTTCACTCTCGAAACTTATTTGAATGGCATAAGAATGTTCTTAGGCCAATACTAGCTAGGATTTTGAGACGAGTACACGTTTAGAAGCACTCCATTACCAATGAAATGCAGTCTACATAGGAGGCAAAATCCACCCTTAGGTCGCATTAATGACCCACCCTTTCTAAGGACAAAGTTCGGAACAATGACAAGAAATTTTCGCGGAGAAAGAGACCAGTGACAGTAAACCATTTACGAATAAGCAAAATCAAGATGAAACCTTTTACTGCCAGCGTAGAATAGACTTTTCACAAAGCACCCTGCTACGCATGTATACGTGCAGTAGCGATTCCCAAAAGCCAGAAATTTTCTCACAGTAAAAACTAATTTACCAACCTCCCTCCACCTTCACTCGCTCCCTCTCACACGCACACAAACAGAAAAACGCAAAGGTAAAAAAGAGAACAATAGCTTAATGGCTGAATGAATCCAAAAGGGAGGGCGAGAGCAAGTGCGCATGTTTAGAATTCTGATGAACATAATATGGCGTACATAACGACAAGATCCACGTATTTGCCCAGTTATCCCACTCTCCATTGATTAAACAGCCCGCAAAAGGAGTGGAATAATAAGCTATCTCATTTAGTGCGATTTATTCCAGAAGATACTGCCTTAGTTCTTAAAAGACAAAAAAACCCACCTGTAACAAAGTTTGCAGTCAGGAGAGAGGGCGAGTGCATAACAGGCGGGTGCATCAAAAGTAAGGTCGGCTTTTCTTCGACCAGGACCGTTCAAATCCCAAATCGTCAGGCAACTCGATTCGCCTCCAATCAGCAGAGTGGAGCAATCCTGTTGGTTGTGAAAAAGAGCAACATAACGACTAGTAGCGCACGTAGTGAGGGATGAGTGGACTAAGATGGACTGAGAATATGACCACATAATCGAATTAGGGTGGAGTGGTTGCGTAAAAAACTTTGATGACGAAATCAAGTATGAATTGAGTGACTTGATCGGTAATTAGAAGACACTGAGGACGAGTAGCAGTTATACATCCCCAATGACAACCAGAATCAGTATGGATGTCCCACGACGTAATTGGATGCCGTTGTAGTAAAAAAGGAGACCATCATTACAACAAAATAAGAGCATAGAATTTATCAATGCATTAAGCACTAAACATAACAAGAAGACAATCTATGCAACATTTCAAATTCCGTAGGCAAACGGAATAAAGTTATGAAAGGCAAGTGAGAAAACACACCGGGAAGAGCTTGATGGAGCGAACATAACTTTCAGGACGAAGACAATCAAAAGAAGCGAGAGCGACAACATCTCTAGAGGAAGAGGAGCCAGCAATAGTGTCGAGATCCCAGAGCTTGACACAACCGCGTCCACCCGTGTAAGCGAAATGCGGAATGCGGGTGGATGATGATATAGCAACAGAAGTTTCGCCATCACCGCTGGGATCAACTTTGAAGGTGGAGGGCGAGAGAGTGTCACCGCCGGAGGTAGGGGAAGAGCCTCGACCAGAGGGTGCGGGTGCAATAGTAACTGCACATACCACCTCACCATGCGGCAAACTGGCTAGGTGCTGTAGACGCCGCGGTAGACTGGGATTCGATGTAGCTTCGGGTGCTGACGCCAATCCGCAAGGTCGTGTTCCTCCACTGCCTGGAAGCACTACGTACGAATAGGCCCCCGGGCCAGAAGAGGAAGAGCAATGACTGAGGAAAGAGAAGAATGACCACTAGGTTTGCGGTATCAAGAAGCCCTTCGACAGGACTAATTAACAATTTCTCGTCCGTGCAGACAAAAGCGAGAGCAGCCAAACGTGTGGTCAAAAACTGGGTCCATTCCTCACGGTCGCTTGCACAGACAGTTAGGAGACGAGTCACGCGGACTATCATCCCTTCTGGATGGTCCTGATTAGAGCGTGCGATCTACCCACCATTTTGATTTTAATCTGGGCCAAAGGAAACGGCCAATGTCAGTAGCATTCACAACCCGTAGTAAGC